CCTTTCATCTTTGAAACTCTTTCTTCATTTGACTTTGGAACACTCCCCTCATGGTTGGCTTTCTGTTGTCTTCTCGATTTTTTTTTTTTTTTGAGACAGAGTTTCGCTCTTGTTACCCAGGTTGGAGTGCAATGGCGTGATCTCGGCTCACCACAACCTCCGCCTCCCGGGTTCAAGCAATTCTCCTGCCTCAGCCTCCCGAGTAGCCGGGACTACAGGCATGCGCCACCACGCCCAGCTAATTTTTGTATTTTTAGTAGAGACGGGGTTTCACCGTGTTGACCAGGATGGTCTCGATCTCTTGACCTCGTGATCCACCCATCTCGGCCTCCCAAAGTGCTGGGATTACAGGCGTGAGCCACTGCGCCCGGCCTGTCTTCTCGATCTTTAAAGTCGGGACCCCAATTTGGATGTTCTCTGATATATTGGCAAGTACTTCTGAGGTGATCTCATCCAATCTCATGTCTTTGCATAGCAGCTCCATGTTGATGACTCCCAAACTTAATATTCCCAGCACTCATTGCTTCCCTGATCTTTAAGTTCATATAAACATCAGCATCATTATAGGATGTTGAATAGGCATAGCAATGAAATTGCGGTATTGACTCCATCCCCCAAATAAAATGGTGTCATCATTGTCTCATCCCTGTCTCTTGCTCATGTACCAGCTCCACCTCCAAAATATACCCACCCTCTTCTTGCCAGCTGTACTCCTACTTTACTATTTCCAGCAATTATTAACATTTGCCTGAACAGTTGCAAAAAATTTCAAACTGATCTTCCTGCTTCTCCTTGACCCCTACAATGTATTTTCACCACACCAGCCAAAGAAATCCTCTTAAATCACAAGTAGTAGTATGACACACCTTGGCTAAGAACCCTTCCTGAATTTAGCACTCCAAAGACCAAAGTTCTTACCATGACCCCTGTGAGGTCTACATGACCTGATCCTGCTGCTGTCTTTCTAATACCATCTCCTTACATTCAACCACCCTGTTCTCTTTGTTCCAGCCAGGATGGTGTTTTTGCTCTTCCTTGAGCATGGCAAACATCCTCCCACCTCAGGGCCTTTGCTCTTGCTGTTCCCTCTGCCTGGAACACTCTTCCCTTTCAGATATCTGCATGACTAGTTGCCGTATTCCTTTAGGTCTCTGCTCATGTATTATTTCATCTGAGAGGACCGATCTGTCTGCAGTAGAATCCACCACCATCTTTCTCTACCCCTAATTCTTTCTTCATCATCATCCCTGTCATATTATATACTTATTGTCCATCTTCTATTTTTATCTCCCCAGCTACATTCAGAACACAAATTCCATGAAACAAAATGTTTGTGGTTTTCGCTGCTATATCCTTAGAGTTACAATAGTGTGTGGCACAGAATAGACAGCTAGTAATGTTGGTTAAATATCTCTTATTTTGGTTTTCTGTCTCACTTGATACTGTTGGCTATGTCCTTCTTGGAATGTACTCTTCTGTCTTTTGGGTTCTCCTATTTCTTTGATTACTGCTGGCTCCTTCCAAGCTTCCTCCTCCTTTTCTGGAAGGTTGAGCGTTAACATCCCCCAAGCTGAGAACTTAACCTTCTTTTCTCCTCCTTCTGTACACTCTCCCTTGATTTCTGTCTATATCCCATTGCTCTAAGTAGCATAGATACAGGACCCAATGGCTAACATGCAAACCTCTGTCTTCATTTCAGACCTTCCTCCTGCATCTGGTCTGCCCAGCTCTCCTCTGCACGCTTCCACTTAAATATCCTCCGGGAAGCTTACAGAGGTTTCTCTAGTGACAGCCTGAGGACTTCTCAAAATGATGCTTTACTCCTGGCCTTCCTTTTGAGCAAAAGGCCCCAGGAATTGGACCTGTTTTCCTAATAATGATTTAAAATAATTAAAGAACTACTTTTATCAAACATTTTATATACATTTTTTCTAATCCCTCCAATGAGTTTTTATAGTAGATTATTAACTTTGTCTTATACATGAGAAAACTCAGTCTCAGTAACTTGCTTAAAGTTACAAAGCTTCTAATGTTTTATTGCAGTGACGCCATTGCATGATTCTGATTCCCTTCGATGATAAATGAAATCCTGTCTTCTCCGTCAGGAAGAGTCTAGAACAAATTTAACAATCCAAGCAATAAAATGAGATTTCTCTGCATCTCAAGAATGTACTGCATCTGGGGACAGTCAGCTCACTTGGCCTATCCTATTCAGAAGGCCAGGGAGTTTCCATCTTCCAGCATTACCCTTTGTCTCCTACAAAGAGTTCAGTTTTAACCTGCCCAAAACTGATTTTTTAAATCCTTTTCCCACAAATCACCTAAAAATCAGTCCAAATGCCCTTTTCTCCCCCGTTTTGGTCGCAGCAGGCGTGTTTTTAATGCTTACGAAGAAGTAAGTATAATTTCAGAATTTGGCAACCTTCTTACAGGGAGAGAGAAGCAAGCTCCAGGTTAATACAAGTGGATTTGATGCATGCCATTTTGCTTCACCTCTAACAGAACAGTCGGCTTCAGGCTTCGGTTTTTTTCACTGGATTAAATCAGGTGGAGCATATGCAGGCTCTCACACAGCAGCAGCTGCTGAGTCTATCCAGAAAATTGCTGTGCCAGCAGCGATTTCCCCGTGGCTCTCGCGTTTAATTGAATCAGAACCAGCAGGTGACTGGTGCCATGACAAGGGAATCACAGACACTCTCTGAGCCTGTCACCCTGTGATAGAGCTTAATATACAGCCTCTTAGTGAAGCGCTGAATTCTGCTTACGGGTAGGGCACACAGGGCCTTTCCTATGATTTTTTTTTATGTGCTGGAGAGGCATAACTTTAAAACCACTATTTTTAACTATTATGCAATTAAGATGGAGAATAATGAGGCAAGTGATTTATTTTGTAAAATAATTATGTATCTTACAACCCATTATTACTAAAAAAATTAATAACTTAACATTCTGTATTTTGGTCCTGATTTATGTAACTAACCATATATATTTATATAAACACATATTCTCTAAAGTTTTTTTTAACTAAAATATGTGGCAATTGAGCAGATGCAGTTCAATCAAGCGGAACATTAAGCTAAATCTTAATCATAATAATTACTGATTTTACATTTTCACTTTCAAGGCATTTTTAATTTGTCTCAGAAAGGGTCAGTCAATAGTTTTTATGTAATATATAGTATATATTAAAAATCAGATTCCCAAATAAACAAGTTGAAGGTTTTGCTTAAAGTCTCATTCCTACCATTGATTGCTGTCTAACATATTTTAGTAACAAAAAACCTTTAGAGAACATGTTTTTATATAAATATATAAGGTTAGTTACATAAATGACAAACAGAGATAAGGAGGTGGGTTGGAGATCAAGGAATCGTTTTTCCTCCCAACATATCATTGGTTTATTCTGTTCACGGACAATCTCTGTGAATAACATATGTGTAGCTGTCAGGAAATGATTACAACTATAGAGAATGAAGGAATCAGTATATATAAAATGGTAATTAGCATTAATTAAGGAAAAGATAAGCATTACTATTAATGTTCCATTAAGCCTCAAGCAACAGAAGAGCAGTAGTTTTCACCTGACCTTGGATTTTAAAGAAAGTGTAGGCAAAGCAAAATGTCTGTTCCAAATGAGGTCTTTCCAGACCATTCAGGGGTGGTATGCATTAAAAGAGTCACATTTCAATTTGTAATGCAGTGACTCTATTTTTATTCCATATACATACAGCGACTAGTGAAGCAATTCATACTTAGACGGGAGAGAAATTGAGAAACATCTCTGTGCAAATGCTGCAAACGTTGATACATACATAGGTAAATGGCAGACAGATAAAAGTTTACACTCAGGTTTTCTTTTATGCTACTTAATGAGAACACATTTTTTTTTTTTTTAGTTCAGAGTCCTTTACAATATAACAAACGGTTGACAAAAATTGTAAACAATACTTAAGAAACATTATTAAAGGAAAAAAACTATTAATGGGCAAAATAATTGAGGTATTTTACTGAAATCAAAACACAATAGATTCATAGAAAAAAAGAATTTTAATGTAGTTCAGAGTTTCTTTAAAGTTTTAATGATCATGAAGCATTAGTAGCTAAGCTCAAGGTGGTAGGTGGAGAGAGCATAGCACCAATTAATATCAGTCTATAACCCCCAAAACTTACTCCGGTCATCAAAAAACTCATGTGCTCAGCTAATGATTACCACAGCATTGCGTTCGTTTAAAACTTTCGTTTATGTTGTCTGCTAGCTTAAGGCTTACACCTTTGCTCTTAATAAAAGAAAAAAGGCTACTTAACTAAATCTCCTAATCATTAAAAACAATTGGTTTTATAGCCACTTTCAAGAAAGTTGCCCTCAGAGAAAGTTACAAAAAAAAAAAAAAAAACTTTGATGATTGTGAGGCTTAATCAAACATTGTAGAGTCAACAAATGGTAAGAAAAAAATCCTAATAAAATGTTTCTAAAAATTGTAAATTAGTTTGATAGAGTCTGAGTTGAATGTTTGTAGTGATTTTGGAGATCTGCCAGTGTTAAATAGGATCCAGTTGGTGTGGACTGAAGGATTCTGGCAGCAAATCAAGACCGAAAATCTGACCAAATAATGTCTTTTTGAGTAAGTGACAGTTAGAATCTGTTCTCTGGCATTACTGCTGTGAGTAAATGGACAGATATTTTATTTAAACATCTAAGTGTGAAAAAAAGTTGTCATTTACATGTCCTAAAGAATTCAATAGAAAAAAATTACACAATTTTCAAGGTCTATTGTTTTTTAATAAAGTTTGCCATTCTAGAAAAAAAATCATCAAAAAATAATGAAGAATGTACCCACTTTTTAAAAACGAAGCTTGCAGCTCCATATACATGTGTGTGCAACACATACATATATATATATATGCATACACACACATAGTTGTTTATATATATATATGTCTTTGTTATATAGGGACAGAAATATTAACAATGATATATATATGTCATTATTAATTTTCAGGAAAAGGAAAGCGATTGAAGCAAGCCAAGGAGGAAGCAATGGTAGAAATTGACCAGTACAGAATGCAGAGAGATAAGGAGTTTCGACTAAAACAATCTAAGGTGAGTAAGAAAGTCAGCACAGTTTCTTATGCAGAAGAGATAAGACCTTCCTATTCATAAGGCGTAACACGGAATATCGAGAGAAAAAATATGCTGCAATTGAGCAGATACAGTTCAATAAAGCTGAATATCAAACTAAATCTTAATCATAGTAATTATTGATTTTACATGTTCACTTTCAAGGCATTTTTAATCTGTCTCATAAAGGGTCAATCAATCGTTATGATATAATATATAGTATATATGAAAAACCATATTTCCAAATATACGAGTTGAAAGGATTTCTTAAATTCTCCTTCCTGCCACCGGTTGTTGACTAACATATTTTAGCAAACAAAAACTTTAGAGAACATGTTTTTATATAAATATATATGGCCAGTGACATAAACAACTAACATTTCCAAGATTTACAAAGGACCAAAGTAGATATTGTTACAAATTGCTGAAAAGCCTTCTGGTATTTTCTGACTATCTTTGCAACTGGCTGACTCATTCATTAAATCTTCCTTTTAGAGATAAACAAATGCTTTTTCCTACACTGGCATATTTTTAAATATCTGCAGTTTACTGTAAATTATAAATGCGTGAAGTCTTTGGAGCCAAAATCCTCCCTTCCATGTTGCAACATGGTCTAAAAGAAAGTGCTCAACTCCATGTGTCATAACTAAATTTTATATGAGATTTTATTTTGCCCTCGGTAAAAATATAAACAAAGCTCTGTGCAGAAGTCTGACATTGCAAATAAATTATAAGCAATTTGGAAATCCTCTTTATTTACAACTTTCACTTTAGTGCTAATGGATAAGGAGATCATGTAGGATTAAGTAAATAGGACCACATGATCATAAAATCTTTCTGATCAAATAAAATAAAGTCCTTTCTAGAATAAAGTAGACCACTCAGCAAAAATAAATATTTTTATCAATGTTTGAAAATAAGAAATCCTAAAGTCCTAAGTTCATACAGCCCTCCACGATTGGCCTTTGGCTATCTCTCTCACCACATTTCCTACCATCCTGCTCTTTATTAGTCCTGTTCTAGCCATATTGGCCTTCTGTTCTTCCTCAAGAAGACAGAACATGCCCCTACCACAGGGCCTTGTCATGTACCATTCTCACACTCTGCATTTCTTTTCTTCAGATAGTCATGTTTCTTTGATCTCTGTTCAATTGTTAGCGCCTATTCCTGATCACTTCATCTAAAATCGTGTCTGTCATAAATACGTACCTGTTGTAGCCCATTGTTTCCCTCATAGCACTTAGCAGTATCTCACATTTTTTATATTTACTTTTTTTTTTTTTTTTGCATATTGCCTATCTTTCCTTCTGGGACTTTAAACACCAAAGGAACCATTTATTTGTTTTTTTTCTCTGTTTTCCTAGATATTAGAACAGTGCTTGCCACACAGTAGATATGTAATAAACATTTGTTGAAAGAATAACATTTTTTTTTTGCTTTGCTTCCTTATTGAATCGTGTCCTAACCATGATTTATTAGGACCTGAGAAAATAATCATCCTTAACATTATCCCACTTTGATTATCTTATATAGGATATTTCTGATGTAATTATTTCCATTTTTTAAGTAATGACAAAACTGATTATAATTTCAGAAAGTGCTTGTGTTAAATCTCTCCAAACATTATTTCTCCAGAAGAATCTTATCAGATATATATCTTGTTCAGGTTATTTGTTCTCTGCTTTGGTTAATAATTAAATAATTAAAACTCATAGCTCTCATAATTAGCAGTCCAAGCCAATTTTACAGCTACTTGATCAAAAGCTCACATAGAAAGGTCAGCATATTTAAGCCTCGTCTATTTTAAGCATATTGTAAAACCATTAGCACAGATCTTCTTTCCTTGGCATGACCTCCATATGTCAGGCATATTGCTATTTCACTTAAATCTCATCTCATTAACCCAGGGCAATTAGGAGGTTTGGGAGGAGACCCAAAAAACCAGCTTCCTGTCTGCTGTGGGTGTTGTATCTTGATGTTACTTTTTTGTTGCTTTTTAGCTCTTGTTAATACATGTACTTTTTCAAGTGCCTGACTTCTCAACAGAAGCAGGTATACTAATGTGGGCTGTACATGAGCAAATATTGTTTCATCAAAAATCTATTTATCCCTTCCTTATTGCTATCCAAGATAACACCTTCTACTAAAGAAGATATTACATTGCTAAAAAGAAATCTGGACTACAGTAGAAAAATTAAATCTGTTGTTAATACAAGTAAAACTCAGATAGATCATGAATCTAAATAGAGAACCTGAAAATGGTTGCCTTGGGCACACTGAAGATCTTTATACCTTTACTCTTTCTTCCTGAATTTATATCCCAAGAACATTTTATTTCCTGAAAGCAATCACAAATTGAGATCACAAAACTGTGTTTTTCATATGACAGAAGGATCTGAACATTTAAACAACTTACAAGGAAACATATTGAATGTTTAAATATTTTCCATCACCATCAGTCATTACGCTGTTAAGCTATATATCAGTTTCAAAGCTGACATTTTGAAAATTAACATGGAGAAGTTCTCACATGTCACCCTTAGACAAAACGTATCATTACACGTTACAGAATTATCAACTACTAATTTGTACATTGTCCCAAACATTCAGGTGACAGGTTTCCACCAACACGAGCAACAGAACACAGGTAATGAGTTCTCTGTAGTATCAAGAGATCTGATCATTCCACTCAACACAAAAATGTGTATTGAGCGTCTACTAAGTGCCACACAGTGCTTAAGGCACTTATAATACATCAAGGAACAAGCCGGCACTGATTCTTGCCTTCGTGTCACTTACATTCCTTCACTGAAACTCCTACATGGGTTAAATCAATACTCTGCCTGCAGATACCAAGATAAGGAATTCTTCCCTAGGAAAACCATTTAAAATAGTGTATGACTAGTCATTGTTACAGTATTGCATAGGAAACACTGTAGAAACTCAAATCACTGGGTATCAAATAAACTCAGAAATAATATTTTGTTTATGCCGGATGAAACAGGATTACGGGGGTATTGCAAGAGTATTACAATGTTTCTGAAAATACAGAACAGATTGAAAAAGTATGAAAAGTACAAGTAGGACAGTCAGTGAAAATTATAATCACTAACACATACGGGTTACTTGTTCAGAGTTAAACTTCTTTTTGTTTTTGGTTTTTTTTTGGAAATGGAGTCTTGCTCTGTCACCCAGGCTGTAATGCAGTGGCACAATTTTGGCCCACTGCGACCTCCGTCTCCCGGGTTCAAGTGATTCTCCTGCCTCAGCCTCCCAAGTAGCTGGGATCGCAGGCATGTGCCACCTCGCCCAGCTAATTTTTGTATTTTTAGTAGAGACTGGGTTTCATGATGTTGGCCAGGATGGTCTCAATCTCCTGACCTCATGATCTGCCCGTCTCAGCCTCCAAAAGTGATGGGAATACAGGTGTGAGCCGCCGCAGAGTTAAACTTCTGTGCCACATGTCATCTTTATAAGTTTCTCTGGAAAATGATTATGGTGTCTCCGCAAGCCACATTAAGAATTCAACTAATATTAACAGCTGCCATCTATTGCTGCACTGTCCAAAATGGTGACCACTTTACATGTGGCTACTAAGCCCTTGAAGTGTAGCTAGTCCCAATCAAGATGTGCTGCAAGTGTAACATACCAGATTCTAAAGTCTTAGTATGAAATAAAAGAATGTAATAATTTTTTAATTGATTGTATGTTAAAATGTGAATATGAGGTTAAATATATTAAAATAACTATAACTATTTCTTTTACATTTTTAATGTGGTTTCTAGAAAATTTATAATGATATGTATATGAGTTGCCTTTGTGGCTCATATTATAATTTTGTTAGACACAACTGCTCTGCCCACTTACCAGTGAATCTGGTTTGCATTTTACAGTATCTTACCAAATGGGATATTATCCCTATTAAGAAAAAAATAGAGAAAATAAGGTTGAGATTAACTTTTCCAAAGTCATTCAGAAAGGTTACACTAAATTAACCTAATGACAACTATTTTTAATACTGTCCTAATGACAACTATTTTTAATAGTTTCACAACAGTTTGCTTTTAATTTTTTGCCACTAGAGGACATTGAATTTAGAGAAAATCTTTTTTTTTTTTAAGTTTGGTAGAATCCCATTTAAGATACTAAATTTAGAAGAAAAATTTTGAGCTTGGTAGAACCATTTCAATAAGTAGTTCTCTTCTATTTTAAAATTTCTTCTTAGCAAGGGAAATTTGATCCATATGTTTCTGCTTCTTGTATACTCACTCATCAAAATGTTATTCTGCAAAAGTTATTTGATGTCTTAGAAGCTGCAACTTCTCAAAATTATTTTCTTTGAACTGAGAAGACCCTGTTGCCTGGACTGTAAACAGAAAAGAACTTGAACCCAAGAGCCTCAGAGGCATTTGATTTCAAGCCTAGGACTCAAAAAGATCATGCAGATTTTAGAATTTAGAATAGTTTAACAATCCTGAAGTAGAAGTCAGTGGAGTCTCTTGGATTAAATTAAATGCATACTTTTCCTAAACACTCACAGAAGGAAAAAGCAAACAAACGTAAAACAGTCTTCTTGCCTTTAAAATGCCATGTTTAAGAAAGGCTGAATTTACAAAGGTGATACATTAGGAGTTGATTGTTTGCTTTAATAAAGGCTAACTTTCAAAGTGTTTCACTGCAGAATTCCTTTAAATTGTTAACTCCCCTGATGAAATTATATTTTGATCAAATCATTTCTGGATAAAGAAGCTATGAGGAAAGAGCTTATAATGGAAAAGACTGAGAATCACTGCCAATTAAAGAGCAATTAGAAAGATATATTACACTGTCTAAAATTATAATGTAACTAAATGAACAAGCATACTCAATTTGAAAGAAACACAACTTACACTAAAATTTTCATGATAATATCTATTATCCAAAAAAATCCACTTGTACGGTGAGGCACGGTGACTCATGCCTGTAATGAGGGAGGCCAAGGCACTTTGGGAGGCCAAGGCAGGAGGATCACAAGGTCAGAAGTTCGAGACCTGCCAAGCCAACATAGTGAAACCCGGTCCCTACTAAAAATACAAAATTAGCCAGGTGTGGTGGCACGCATCTGTAGCCCCAACTACTTGGGAATCTGAGGTGGGAGAATTGCTTGAATCCCCTGGGTGACACAGTAAGACTTTGTCTCAAAAAAAAAAAAAAATAAGGAGGAAATACACTTGTGAATATAAAAGTATCTTATAGGGCATATTGTGACTGTCTTCCTGATAAACAAGACATGGTCAGTTCAGATAATGTATTTTAAAAATAGAAAAACCAGTTATTCACTCAAAAAAAACAGCAAAAGTGGGTTTAATGGTATCTTTCAACTATATTTTCCATTTATAATTCAGAAAGTAAATAATGGGAAAGATATGGAAACTGTTATAAATACATGAAAAATACGATGGAAAAGGACTTCTGGGCATAGTTTCATGCTTATAAATGTGTATTCAATTTGTACCATGTAGAGGTCGGTTAAAAGTGAAAGTAATCTGCTATGACCAGCTTCAATATTTTATGAAAGTTCATCCTTCCCACTCACAGCATTGATGATCTTGTCTGTTCTCTGAAAAAAATTCTAGATAAGGAGTACATAATTGTGCACCATAGGATAATCATCAGTAAACAGGCTAAGACAAATTTAACTTGTAAAACAATAAATTGTGTTATGACGTTGTGAATTTTCTCTGTTTGGTTTTGGTAGATAATGGGCTCTCAGAGTAATCTCTCAGATGAAATAGAAGAACAAACACTAAGGAAGATACAAGAACTTAATGGACACTATAATAAGTGTATGGAATGTGTGATGAAACAGCTCTTGAGCATGGTCTGTGACATGAAACCAGAAATCCATGTGAACTACAGAGCCACCAAGTAAATGTACATCATATTTTTTGAGGAAAAAGAAAAGGTGTGTGAGTGCCACCTAGTTGCTTATGGCTTCATGTTTTTATATTAAGAAATTTGAAATGTAAATCTTAAATTTACATTTACAGAAAATGTGACATAACTCATACTTTGGCATGGCATTAAACAAAACAAAATACAACTGTTGCTATATCTTTCTAGTAATAATTATGACCTTATAATTTAACTTGGAATAAGTCAAGAATGCAGAAGAGGAACATGCTTTTTAACACTTGCAAGAAAAACATGGTCATGACAGCTTTTTAGTGGGTGTTGGGTTTTTTTATTTCTTCTCCTTTTCATCAATTTGAAAACACACTCAATTCTGTTAAAAGGTAATTTGCTAAAAGATAATCTTTAAGCAGGATATGCTTATGACTTTTCAACAGATCTAAAAATGAATATGTCAAGGGTTTTATTTACTTCAGTAAGCAATGAGGAAACCAGTAAGACAGAGAGACAGAAATAAAGAATTATGGGTTATATAGCCATTTTAAAACACAGATGGGTTTTATAATCATTCTGTCTGTCTGACCTCAACTAAACTGATATTATTTTTAAGAGAAAAAAGTAAATGATAGATAAGCTGATAACAGATTTTGGAGCTTTGAAAAAAAGAAACAAAAGAAAAGAAATACAAAGAAAATTAGGAAATATAGTAGGTTACTGTGCCACTAGCCCAGTCTCCTAGTTACAGCTAAGCTAAATTATTGTTAAATACTAAGTACTTTGTTAGTGCAATGCATAAATTATCTCAGTCCTACTGCGAGAGCCCTATTAGTGCTCTTGTTTTACAAAACGAGAGGCAAAGACAAAGGAGCCTGCCTGGAGACGCCTGGATAACAGTGACAGCCCGGGGCTTCAAGCTGGGCAATGTGACTCCAGTCTTCACACTCTTCATTTCTCTCCGAACTACTTACCCGCGCTGTTCCTATATTTGTATTAGTAAGAACATGGGTGCTATAAAATCTTGGATTTTCATGTAATATATGCAGATAAATTTTAATTCCAGCCTAAAGAAAAGTTAATGGCTGGGCGCAGTGGCTCACACCTGTAATCCCAGCACTTTGGGAGCCCGAGGCCGGCGGATCACAAGATCAAGAGATCAAGACCGTCCTGGCCAGCATGGTGAAACCCTGTCTCTACTAAAAATACAAAAATTAGCTGGGCATGGTGGCATGCACCTGTAGTCCCAGCTATTTGGGAGGCTCAGGCAGGAGAATTGCTTGAACCCGAGAGGCAGAGGTTGCAGTGAGATGAGATCACGCCACTGCACTCCAGCCTGGAGCCTGGTGACAGAGCAAGACTCTGTCTCAAAAAAAAAAAAAAAAGAAAAGTTAATTATTGTTACCAAAGTATTCAAAAAAAAAAAGAGAAAAGTTAATTATTGTTACCAAAGTATTCACATAATCTTCAATTATATGAATCTTCGATGACATGTATAGTTTAGTAACAATAATTAATATTTGTTTAGACTGGAATTAAAATTATAAACTGAAATGATTTTAACTGATCATTGTTTTAGATCAGTGGTCCCCAACCTTTTTAGCACTAGGGACTAGTTTAATGGAAGACAATTTTTCCAAGGATAGAATGGTTTTGGGATGAAACTCTTCCACCTCAGATCATCAGGCGTTAGATTCTCATAAGGCGCACGCAACCTAAATCCCTCACATGTACAGCTCACAACAGGATTCGCGCTCCAGTGACAATCTAATGCCACTGCTGGTCTTACAGGAGCCCAAGCTCTGGTGGCAATGCTCGCTCAGCTACCACCACCTCGTGCTGTGCGATCCAGTTCTTGACAGGCCACAAACGGGCATTGGTCTGTGCCTCAGGCATTGGGGACCCTGTTTTAAATTACCAGTATCATTGTTTCTTTTTAGGAGAAAAAGTTAAAATTTTACCCCATATCTTAGTGTCTCAGAAATAGTCAATTTTACATTCATGTCAGGTAAATGGAGGAAAATTTGAATTCTATTTGTTTCCCCATTTTCCCAACTTTTGGGGCAAGGAAAATCAAACAGTGTATTGGTTTTATGTCATATTTTTCCCTATTTACTAGAATGAAAATTGATTCCCAATTAAAGAACAGAAAGATACCAAACATTCTTAGGAACATTGTTTCCCATTTTTTGAGGGAGTGGCGGGGAAGGCATCAATTAAAGTTGTCTCCCTGACATTACCACAGCATTGGAGGATTTCCACTCAGCACAGAATTGAAGAATTCGATCACTATATCCTGCAGAGTTTAGGTGACTAAAATAATGAGTAAAATTGCACATTTGGGGAGTTATCATGTGAAAAAATCATTCTGAAAAACAGCATTGTGATTTGCCTTATATAAGAAAATGGTTTTCTCATGAAAACCATCAAGATGTCAGTTTTCTGGATGTGAAAGCTTTTTTCTGGATATGGAGCACTTGAGTTAATAATAAATTCCTGAGCCTGAACAAAAGAAAGGATAATCTTTTAGGCCCTAAATACTATAGAAACACATTAAAGTCAGTAAAGGATTTTCTCAGAAGTAAAATGGTTCCAGGCCTGGATGAAGAAGAGGAGAATTGGGTCTCAGCACACTGTGCATCAGTCCTGCCAGCGCCACAGGCTTCCTATGTCCTATAGGCAATTCACTCAACCTCTCTGGGCCGAAGATTTTTTTAGTTCTTTAATCTGCAAAATGATGTTGAAATAAACGATTTCTGCAGGTCCTTTAACACTTATTTTTACCTACTAAGTCAGAAGAATTTTTCAAAAGCAGTATTTATTACTTTTAGATTTTTCATTCATTACTGTAGTATTTGTCAATTTCTCAACAATCTCACGTCTATTCTAAATACTCTGTATGTGCTATTGCTGTCCTCAGTATCCTAGATTCTGTGTAGTTTGCATATTTTTATATTCAAATATTGTTTCACATCTTTGCCTAACTGAATGAGTCATTTTCCAAGAACTCTCACACCCTCACAGATGGTAGAGCTGCCAGGTTTTACTTTATTTACATATGAAAAGGTTTTATGTATTTCAGAGCTAGCTCGCTTATCTATGATAGCTTTCTCAGTCACATAAAAAAGTTGACTTTTTTTGTACATGTACTTATACTAAAAGGCTTTTTCTGCTCCTATAGATCTCCAAACAGAAATGTAATAACCTTAGCATGTTTTTAATTGTCCTTTACCCTTGTTTTGATCCTTTGCACAATCAGAAACTACAATATGAAAAATTATTCCATTGAATTCTTACTCATTTCCATTGCACCTAAAAACAAAACCATGCAATTTACAGACTTGCAAAGGAATACAAGGATTTCGGTTTTTATTCCCTGTATTAGCACACAAATACACACAAGGTCAAAAATTGTCATCAGTGCCTCACAGCCATTACTTTGTAGATGGATAGAGCTAGTAAAAGAGAGTTGGCCAGATTGTGTGGAAAGCAGCCATCTTTGAAATATCCCAGCTGAGGCCATTCTAGATCTGGCCAACCCCCAACATGTCAGAGCCCAGCCTAAATCAGCACAGCCACGTTACCTGCCGACGACCATGAACACAGGCATGAACAAAGAAGACATCTTATGAGCCACCTGGAAAACTCACAGACTCATGAGCACACGTAAACATTTCAAGCCACTGAGTTTTAGGGTGATGCATTATGAAGCACTAGCTAACTCCTGTACAGATTGAGTATTGCCTTGAAAAGGAAAGGGTGACCACCTGTCTTGAATGCTGCCAAGAGTTCAAGTAAAATAAGACAGAGAGGTGACTGTTAGATTTACCTATGTGGAGGAGGAGTTTGAGGAGAGAAAGTGTGGTGAAAAAGCAAGAGATAGCAGTTATAGATAACTATACAACTCTAAAAATGATGAGAGAAATGGGCTGCAGCTTGAGAGAGATGTGTGTCAAGCATGTGTTTCTTGTCTGGACTAGAAATGTTACAGCATAATCATACGCTGATTGAAACTCTTCTAGAGGAGAAATAATTTCTATGAAGAAGAGAGAGGGGAACTGTTGCAGAAGCAAAGTCCTTGAGAAGGCAGGAAGCATAGAATTCAGATCCCAAGCAGAAGAATTAGCCTTCAACACAAACAGAGACACATTCACAGGGAGATGACCACGCGCATGGACTGATACAAGTAGGTACGTAGATCTTGTGGTAGAAAGATGAGAAAGTCCTGTCTTATTACCGCTATTTTCAAACTCAATTCAAGGATAACGATCAACTGAGAATGAGGAGTAATTTAAGGGGAGAAGGGAAAGGGTAAAATGGTCATTTTAGAAGGTAAGATTATGATGCCAGGGAAGTGTAATAGGATTATCAAGCAGCATTGAATGTCTAAATGAGATTTATTATCATACTTTTAAAATGAGATTAAGTCAGTTGTGTGCTTGTCTCTGGTCATAGTGAGTTGCTTTGTTGCAGGTGGTCTGACTTCACCTTTAAACTCATCATCAAAGCCCTGAGATCAGCTCCTTTGTCCTACGTCTTTTAACTCTAAAGTTGAACTGAAATAATTCTGCTTGTAAGACTACTATGTACCTAAACTTAAAGAAAAAGAAGCTATTGGAAATAAAGCTCTAAAAAGAAAGATAGCAATCTAAGCATAGAGTTCATTACAAAATTAATTATTCTACTTTTTCAACTTGAAGAAATATAACTGCTGATAACTGTATGCGCCTATTTTCTGTTCTTCCATCTCAGCTCTCTTGGGACTGCCTAATATTGGCAATGCAAGGAGTTACTAGCATAGTGAGTTTGCTTACTTTCAAGAGTCACCTGAAAAAGCTACTTATCAAAGACATAAATGACTGGAGGACCTTATGTCCCATGCAATATTAATTATTCATTTACTCACGTATTCAGCCATAATTGTTGAATTCCGTGATCTCAGGCATTTGAGATTGGGAGTAGAAATACAGGCATGGCTATTACTGAAAGTGACAAGTCCTGTATTTTTACCCCTACCACTTCCAGTAACCCAGCTCCTCAATTCCAGTTTAAGATAAGGTATATTTTTAGTGCATTGGGGTTCTCTGTGTCATCAAATAAACTAAACTCCTGTAATAGGTAATGTAAACATAAAGAATATTTAATACTGTGATTAAACACATAGTTGAACACAGTAATTAAGATCACCATCCCTGGGTCTAGACTATTTTGATTCATATATAAGTAGTAAATACAGGCGTCTATAATAATCGTAATTATTATTATAGTTGAAAAAGAACTGAGCCAATAGGCTAATCTAAAGACAAAATGAG